AAGCCTGCCCTCCACCCCATTCTGGTGTCCTGTGAGCACGTTTCTGGGGATGTGGTGTGTTGCCATGGAGATGACACTTGCCATCCATGTTTCTAATGACTTGAAACAATTCGTTTCGCAATTAAAACAAGATCTATCCTGTGATAACCCTGAGGAAATAGTTACTTACTAAACGAAGGCGGGCGGGAAGTGGATTTCATTGTTGTGCTCTGCTCAAGCGGCTCCAGCTTGCTCTGCGCTGCCCCATCCTACTCTGTTCTGTTTGCAGTGCCCGGTTCCACGTCTGCTCCCTGTCTTAAAAACCGCAGCAAGTTTGCATAAAGTTTAGGCTCCAATTTGCCTCCCTCCTGACATCCAGTGTGGTAGTCTCAAGGACATTTATTCAGAGTGCACCATCAGTCCATTTTTTGCTAATGTGCTCCGCAACCAGATGCTGACTGGCTCAATGCTGGTATTATACTATCCAACACTGCTTTTCCTTCCCAACCTAGAAACCTTTGCCACAAGTTCAAGGGTGAAGAAAGCATATATCCTAGCTGTATACTACTTTCCTTGCTTGCTGGCAGTGAAAATTGTTTGACCAGCTTTCAGGTAGGTCATCTAGCAGCATAAGCGCTAGCTACAACATTACTGAACCAGGTTTTCTGGGTTAAACTTATGCTATGCAGGCACCATCATTGCAGTCCTGGGCACTACTGGGCCAGGAATGTGCTGCAGCCTGGGGGATGGTCCTGTTGCCCTGCAGTTGGTAGCAAAGTTACAGGCTGTTGGATTTGGAGGGGCTCACATGGCACTCATCACTGGTGGTACTTGAGCACCTTGCAGTTGTGTCAAACAATGTGACTAATGTCTGTCACACAGGCTTTGTTCTCATCCTTTCCCCAAGGGGAGAAGCAAGTGCAGCAAGGTCTTGCTTTTACTGCTCTCCCTTCCAATTTGAACAACATATAGTTTTTGCTGTGCCTCTGTGCAGAAGGATGTGCCTCTGTGCAGCATGCCCCACTCTCTCAGGTGGAGTGGGGTAATTTGGGGGGTGCCTTGAACAGAGAGGAGCTCATTTTGTAGTGCAGGCAAATAGGCAGAGAGGGTTGTTGGGCACTGCGTTGTGCTGGAGAAGCACAGCCCTTCCCACACACTTCCTCTGTTGAGGTCCCTGCAAATAATAACAATTATAATACAAAAGAAAATGAGTGAGAATAATCCAGCGATCTTGCTTTCACTCTAGTGATGGCAAAGCTGATGTGTAGCGAGGCGGTGCTGCTGCTGTGGCTTTTGTGGTGCAGAGGAGGGCCCTTGGGCTCCCCCACCATGAGCAGGCGCTCAGCAGGTTTGAGGCTCCCCATTCTTCCCTCTGTGCTTGGCCATGGCTGGTTGGAGCTCCCAGCCCCACCAGTTCCCTGTTTCATTATTGCAGCTCTCACTGTCTCTGTGCAGCTGCCTGGGGGATGTGTTCAGCTTCCT